CCAGGCCGCTGCCGCAGGGGAGGCCCGCCGGTCCGCACCTGCCCCGCCGCCTCGTGCGGTCTCCTGCGCCCTGCCCCGGGCTCCGCTCTCGGGGACCCCGGCCCCTTTGACCTGCGAAGGGATTCGGAACCTCTGTGCAGAGCGCTTCTAAACTGTACCCCCTTACCTGGGGGCCTGCGTCGGGAAGCGCACCCGAGGAGCGAGCCCGGGCGGCTTCACCGCCAAGACCCCGACCCTGTGCACCCGTGTCGGGGACGGGCCGCCTGACAAGAGCAACGGAGGTCAACGGCCTGGCAGCCGCTGCCACGGATAAATAACGGCCCAAGCCATAGTTCCTAAACTTTTTTTACCTGTTATGTTAGAAAACAGTGTCTGGAGGATCCAGAAAACAGTCTCTGGAGGTGGTCAGGGATGTTGTGTTTACTCTTAATAATAAATCGATGACTCCCACATGCATTTCTTTTAGCATGGTTTCAGAAAAGTTCAAAGACAAAAAGAATCTTGAAAACTACTGGTAAAACCCATATATTCTCTAAACCTACTGTTGCTCCATTTCATTCGTATTTTCGAAGAAAAAGCATTTTCTTTAACTTGTGTACCTGTTTTTCTGCATCTTTGATTTCATCTTTATTCCCTGTTGTGTTCCTTCTTAATAGCTTATTAAATTTCTGGTAACTTATTTTTAGTCTTTGTAATAATGAAAATATTGACTATAGTTTTTCCTGTGAGCATAGCTTTAACTGTGTCCATTAGGGTTTTACATGAAATATTTTCTTTTTTTTTTTTTTTTTTTTGTCATTTTCTTTACTAGAATTATAGCTTACATACAGCAAAAAAATATGTGGGCGTGCATGTGGTCTTGCTAAATTGTCCAAGACGGGCTCGAACTTGTGGTCTTCCTGCCTGGACCTCGAAGGGTGCTGAGGTTACAGGCCTGCACTACCACGCCCAGCACAAAGTGTACATATCTTAAATGTACAGCTTATGTAACCACCACCAATAC